TTGATAATGGACTTATTGAAGTAAAGCATAATGTTTAGAAATGTCAGTCACTTTATCAAAGACCTCTATATTCATCGAATAATATGAGGACGGCTTCCGGTTAAAACAAGTAAGCTTCAAGAAGCTCTGATAGAGCTGAAGACATTCTATTCAATTATCATTCGCAAGAACATTTCATAATCTCAATGTACAACTTTCTAATTGGACAAATGCTTAAAAAATCACTACTGCATGTAGATTGGATGATGGTAATGATGATTTTGATTTCACGAAAAAATTATAAATACCCGAGTGTTTTGTACACTATTTGGCTGGTTGGAATAAAATTTCTTTTCACTGGTTTTCTGTTCTCTAATTTTCGACATGGAGTGTTTAAGTGTTCAAGTGATCAAGTTATACGTGGCAAAGAAAACATTCAAGCTCTAGATATAACAGTTAAATGTAGAAAACTAAAATAGACACTGAAAATTAACGACTTCATTAGTTGTAAATCATTTGTCTAATTTTTGTTTTGTCTATAAATATATCTTCATTAACAGTCTTGAATTCTTATTTCTATTAAGTTAAACCAGTCTTGAACAATTAATAGTCATTTCACAATCCATACTAATAATAATATATCATCCACGGTTGTGTAGCTCCAATTGACTCATAATCCCAATCAAAAACTTAACTATCTCCACAACCCCTAAAGTGATAATTACCATGTGCTCACTAATGACTAGCTTTGTGAGAAACTTCTCGTAGCTCTGGTGAGAAGTTGTGACCAGTGGAGCTAATCCGTGTCGGGTAGAAACAGGTGTCTACCTCAGTACAATGGAAAATGGTCGTGCAATTTAGTGGATTGGTTGAGGTTAGACATTAACACCACTGGATGCCGGCTAAGTGGTCTAGTTAGTTAAGTACTAGGTGCGAGAATGATAGGTCCTGGGTGCGAATCTCGCGGGGGTTAGGATCGTGGATGAGCGCTGCCGAGGAGTATCATGATGCGACGAAACGGCCGTCCAGTGTTTCCAGGTTCTCCATGTTGATCTAACTTCAATTGACACATGATTTCAATCAAAAACTTAACAATCTTCACAACCCGCAAACTGATAACAATATATCAGTAATATTGTTGTGAACAAGAACACTAGTGAGGACAATCGATTGTATTTAACACTAAAATCTGAGAATCATATAGTAAAAGTTAATTTGCAAACTATCAATCCATCGTCTCATACTTGACTGCTCCTTTTGCAAATATCAATCCAATGTCTCAAATTTCATTGTTGATGCATTTTCATACTAATTTTGTTCCGTTCCCATTCTTTCCTTATCGATCTTCTACTGAAATACATTTTATGCCTGACCACTGTTATATACTACTTATATGGATATAAGTAACCCACACCATAATATTACCAAGACAAAATAAAGATTATACTTAAATGCCAATATCATATCATGAACATGTCAAGAATTGCTTTTTTCGTACTGTGTATTATACAGTATGACATATTTAACTTTTTTTGAACTATAAATGATTCAAGGATTATCTACGATTGTCATTCATTGAAATACTTCAAGGATATCAGACAATTATTATAAATATTTGAAACAACCTTTTTTTGGTTTTCATTTGAATATTACCTACAAATAAATGAACTTCAGTACCCTTATTATGTGAGAATATATTCAGGTGTTCATTTGTTTATCAACATGTTTGGTTATATTTTATTTGTATAATAACTTATTCATTCATCAACCACAAAAATTTATCTTTACAGTCTTAAGTAAACAATGTGACTATTTTTCTCGTAATATATATATATATATATATATATATATATATATATATATATATATATCCCGACCGTTGTTCCGACCTTGACGTGCTGGTCGGGCTTGCCTATCGTGATGAAGCAACCGAGCTATACTGGCTGGAACAATCGTTTCTTAAGGTCCTACCATTCCAGACAGGTCGGTTGAAGAGCGATAAGACTAAAAGCAGCAAACCTAATGTCTGAGGGCAAGGTCAAACTGCTAACTCTTCAGAGGTGTGACAGCAGTAAGCTGTTTTCTTCAGACAACTAGCATGACAGCGATGCTATCTTCCCACAAGGAGGAGTGTGGTTAGAAAAGGTGCACCCTAACAATACACACCTCACCTTATCCCACAGATATTCGTCGCCAGCTGTAAGGTCTCAACAAGTACGTAGTTAAAACGAAAATAACCCAGAAAAAGATCATTTTGTGACCGACCCCAAGCAGTTATCCCTTGGGCATAGAGGTCACGCTCTTAGGTCACTAAGACCATTTTTAATCTAATTTCCTTTTCAGGTACCTCCAGAAGAACCCTTCCACGGAGTAGGAAACCGGAAAGTGATAACCGACTTCATACCTCTAACAGCACTCAAAACCACTGTATATATATACAACATTAAGAGGAGGAAAAGCGAATGTCTGGACCTGAATCTATGTTGGTGTATACAAAAGATCTACTTAGGTGAGTTGGAAAAATTTGATTCTGAACAAGTCGTACACGTAGGGTTGAGGATACTGAAGAAAAAATTAGCATATGAACCTATTCTTAGTCATTGGTTACTACGAGAATACATTTCCTATTGTCACTCTACTGCCTTCTAGATTATATCTCTAGATCTAAGGCTCTGAGAGTGGTCCCATATGAAAACCACATACTTCTGTTTGGGGATCCTAGTCCTTATACAAATTCTATGTCCCAAATATATAATCATGTTGTCCACTTCTACCTATGTTTATATGTCCAAATTAATCAATATTACCTCTAATAGATTGAACAATTAATACTTAATTCAACTATCACTCATATTACAAAAATAGTTACAATTCATTTTCTGAAACTAATTAAAATGGTTACATAACATAATACAAATCAATTCTGGCAATTGTTTTTTCTATATACATTATGTAATACAAAATCATTGGAATTAAAATTTCACATTTCTACATTTTATCAATGAAGATAGATTAAGAACAGGTATTAAATCTCCAGTACAGGATTGTGAAGATTATAAAGATCATGAATTGATTGGTGTTAGATCATCGACAAAAACCTAGAAGCACTGGACGGCCGTTTAATTTATTGTAAGACTCCTCAGCAGTGAGCATCCATGACATCGCTCGCGGGATTCGAACCCAGAGCCTTCAGTCTCGCAGTCTCGCTGAATTGGTTAAGGTTAGACATCAACACCGTTGGATGCCAACTCAGTGGTTTAAAGGTTAAGCCTTTGCTCACGAGACTGATAAGTTCTAGGTTCGAGTCTCGCGAAGCAGGATCGTAGATACGCACTACTGAGGAGTCCTATAATACAACGAAACTGCCTTCTAGTGCTTCCAGGTTTTCGATGATATTCTAAGATCAATATTAGGTGAACTACTTAAATATTATAAGTAGTTATTTCACATCCTTGATAATAAACTAAAATCAGGAAACAATTAAATTTTACAGAGACCATTTCTCTTTTTTTTTCTTCTTTTGATTAATGAGATTAACTCAGCTAATATAGTTTAAATTACATTCTTTTCAATGTACTTTACTGACTAAATTAATAACATAGAAAAGTGATACACCTTATAAGCGTGTATTCAATTTTGATGTCGGAAGACAATCAACAATATTTATGTGGACGGTGAAGGAGTGGGGGGGGGCAGGTGGAAATAGATGGAATCTTTGATTATTAAAACAAAATAAGATTTTGTTTAGTTTCAATGAAATATATTAGTTAACATAATTTTAACATAATGGCGGAAAATAAAATGAAGATCATCATAAAGCGGCCTGTTTGATTATCTGGGTTACCTGTTCCTACCATCTAGATATTTCAAAAAGTTATCGATTTTCTTGTTTATTTGTCTTAACGCATCACTATTAGTCTAATAGTCTCATAATCTATTCAGATGTGTTTGTGAAAAGTTTACGACAATTCATTGTACAAGTTACAATAGAGCTCAATCAGAGATATCGTGGTTGTTGGCAATATGCATCGAAAAGAATGTACATTATTTAAATGTCGATACCTGAACTGCTAACATCTAATTGACAGCCACTCAATATTTATCATAAGGATCGATCACGAAAGAAGATAAAAGGAAAGTTGTTGAAATAATTTATGTTGAGAATTCCATATTGTACCAAGAATAATAATACTTTTATCTTAATGGTGGAAAATGAAATAAAGAACACAATTATGAGTATTAAGATGTTTTGTTAAAACTAGATTTGGAATTTTTAGTCTTTAGCTATAATAACATTCATTTGATGGATGCGCACTGTTGAGGAGTCCTATAATAGGATGAAATAGCCATCCATTGCTTCAAGGCATTCCATGATAGTCTAGATTCAATTATTAAATTACTACGATCTTCAGAAAACCCCTTTCTGATGATAAAAACGACTCAACAACAAAACTGTGAGTGTGAAAGATCAAGAGTCTTAAGCTAAAAAATAGTGATTCTTCAATGATTTTAATAAGTCATATAAACTTAAAAATTTCAGATAGGAATTTCTTAGCTTATGATAAAATGCTTATGTACATGACTGATCATAGTTCATTAGTTTTGAAAGAATTTTGTTGCCCTGATTTATTGACCCTTGTAGACTCAGTCACCAGTACGGTCCGTAATATATACGACAACAGAAGCTCAACATCTCCTGGATTCAATGGTTGTACAATTGATGTTAAACAACTAATACAAACCAATTGTATGCATCTATCAAACACATGAATTGATTTAGGTTCAATAACCAGTGAGGAGCTGAAAGCATTGAACAAACGTTTTTTTCCCAATATGGGACTCCTTAGGAGTGTGTATACAATAACCGGCAACCGCAGATCGAATCCTGGGGCTCTCACGTAAACACTTGACCTCTAGATCACTGAATAAGGAACCGATGTTTATTTAAAAAGAACTATTTATTTCGTGTAAAACCAAGAAATTGTTTTAAAAATACATAATTATGATTGTTAACAATTTACCTTAGATAATTTATTTCTTCTATTTGTTTCCCTCTTTTTGTCCTGATTAGTTGTTTTCATTTCATAATCTGTATTTTCATTTGGTTTGTTTGTATCGGATTTTAAAAACGTCGTACCATATTCCTCTTCATTAGAATCCATTAGTTTTTTTTCGTCAGATAATAATGATATTACTAAAAAATAAATGAGAAATGAAATTAATATAACCATTTTAGCATCAAATATCATCTAATGTGAAAATCATTTAAGTCAGTCAGTCAGTCAGTCAATCAGTACGTACGACACGGTACGCATATACATCGGTCCACGTTGCTATACCTCATTAGCACAACAAGACCAATACCGAATTCATACTACTACTACTTACTCCTGTTACTTCTCGTGGAGGAGCATAGGCCACCCACCAGCACTCACCATCCACCAAATTCAAAGAAGTAGTTAATTCAATGTTGGTAATATATAAAAGAAAGATCGCATATAAGGATATGGTGCAAGCAGAAAGAATTAGTTCGTAGAATGAAAGATATGAAGCGGTTTTATTCTCATAGTTTAAAGGAAGACAGAGAGTGTATACACCAACACCATTCTGATCGATTCTCAAACATGTTACACACAGTATACAACCATTGGTTACAAGAGTCAGATGTACTCCAATCAAGTAGTCTGCATTAACTGACATGACTCAGATCAGAAGTTAGGAACTTCAAACACTGATGCCACGTTTTGGCTGGTTTGGCCGCCCCTAACTTTCATTCAACCGTCTCCAACACTAATCAGCATTGAGCGTCGTGGTAATCATTGTTCAGGTGTACCTAACACGTGATCCAATCATCTCAGTCGATGAAGAATCACAACCTCATCAACTGATTTATGAATAACAAAAATGAATATTCATTATTTGCTTGTTATTTTTGAATCTTTACTTGTGTATACTTATGGATTGACATAAATAACACAGCTATTCATTTGCCAACATACAACATTGGTTAATTATTTATTTACTGAGTAGATAGTTTTGTCATATGTAATCGATTCAGTAATGATTTAGGCATTTGTTGTCTAGACGAAGAGCTTATTCGTCACAACAGTCAAATGATTTAGTTTATAACCCATCAGAAGAAAACCAACATATTCTTTGAATTGATGTATATATTTATACAGGGATCTGCGTCGACTATAGAATTTTCACAGTCTGAACCACAAAATGATCTTAGTTACCACCATAAATATGTAATTTAAAATGGTTAAAATTAAAATTCTACATCAAAAAAAGTCAATTATTCTTTCATGAGACCAAAGATCTTAACTTTGATTTCAGGATGGAGGACTGTGTTTTCGATTGTTGAATAGTCCCATACTATGATGAGATGGCTACCTAGTATTTCCAGGTTTCCAAATGATGGTAATTCAAATTGAGCATTGGGTAGATTGTTATAAATAACATAAAATGACATATTTGTATATATTCCAATGAGTAGAAAAATTAGATTTTCTCATGTTTCGTGACTCGGTATAAACAACTTCTTCAGAGAATAAATAGACAAGTTAAATTAACCCAAGTTTAAATAGTACAAAGGAACAAAGCAAGAGTACTTGTTGCGATCAATAAAAAGACATATATATGTGAACAAGTCAATGTCATGTCATTCCAGTCAAGGTGATTCATTTATACATTCACAATTGCATAAGTGTAATTTTCAAAACAAAAAAATTACTATCAGAAGAGGTTTTGTGGATATTATAGTAATTTATAATAGTTGAGGTCATGAGTCAATTGAAGCCAGATCACCAATGTGGGACTCCTCAGAAGTGCGCATCTACAATCCCTCCCAGAAATATTCGAACCCAAAACCTATCAGTCTCGCATGCGAACGCTTAACCACTAGACCACTGCCCTGGATTTTAACGGTTTTAATGTCTAACTTCAATTAATCCACGAAATTGAACAACATATCCAACATTATCTTCGGTGAGTTACTAATCTCACAATAGACACCATTGAACTCCACTGGTCACTGTTTCTCACTAGAACTCATCATTAACTATTCATTTTCATGATGAAGTTGAATGCACTAAATTGCATTACATTCTATATCTCCATAAAGAAAAAGAAAAAGAAATATTAAGCTATTCCGTTGTTATTACTAAACTTAGAAAGGAACAGGAAAAGTATCGTTATCTTGTTTGAAAGAAGGGAAAAAACCCACTGAAACGATGATGTTAAATGTTTCATTTACTTTCTTTTTCTCATTATACAATATTAATGTTCATTTAGTTGCTTTTCTCTCTCTCTCTCTCATTACATTTATTGTTATGTTAGTGATACAAGTTACGTAACAAAAATATTTTGAAGAGAAAACTATTCATGTGAACTGTACAATTAGTAAACGGGGTGGAGCATTAAGTATTGTATGTGTGTGTGAGAGAGAGCGAATGAAGGAGAGAGAGGGAGGGAGGGAGGGAGGGAGGGAGAAGTGAAAGTCATTTTGTTCACTAATCAGATTTTTTTCTTTCATTGAAAATAATTGAATGAATTTCAACTTAACAATAAATCGAAAGAAATTACTTAGAATAGATGGATTGTTATTAATAGACAAATTTAAGACGTAGGTTTTGTCTGATTTTTTAATTATTTATTTGTTAACTAGATATATCTTCATTTCAGTGTTGATATTCATGACAAGAATCGAATTCAAATGCCATTTGCATTATCCATTGAGTTATTGATTACCAATAACTAATAACTTGTTCAGTGGATATGATTTTCATGTAATCGACATTATTATATAGGTACCACTCCATAGATAGAACGGAATGTACGTCCTTGATTCCACTGTTAATTACAATTCATCTATTCTAAATAACTAGTGACGTAACCACTACACTGAGTCAATCAACACAGGGTGTATCTAAATCAAAAAAGGCCAATCAATAAAAGTAACAACAAAATACCTCAAACACTAATTATCAATATAGGTTTGTGAAGATCATTAAGTTTTTGATTGAAATAATGAACCAATTGAAGTTAGAACACCGTTGAAAACCTGAAAGCACTGGACGGCTGTTTCGTCCCAGTATAGGGCTCCTCAACAGTGTGAATCCATGATCCCGCCTCGCGAGATCCGAACCCAGGACCTATCAGTCTTGTGCCAGGTGCTTAACCAACCTAGACCACAAATATATAAAATATATAAAACCATTTATAGACAGAAAGTTCTATGGAATATATCCAAGCATTCGTCAGTTAGTTTCAATGTGATATTAAGATTAAGTCTTTGAATTAGTCTAAAACCAACGGAATGTAATCTAGTTTTTGATTACTACAAATGTACGACTAAACAATTAGGAAAGTGCTTTTCAGTGACGAACTTTTAAGTTGTAGAATTGATATAAATACTACTCCATTTAAATTCTAGACAAGGATAATTTAACCCATGTAATACTTCTGGTTTATTAAGTTTTATACTATTTTAAAGACAATTTTGCTCGTTTGGATTCATTTCACAGTTTGCAATGGAAATAAGTTATCTATTTATTCATTAGACATGCTGTTTCAAATTTATAGTTTGACGAGAAGTACTGATGATCAACACTATCAATCATCATTTTTGAATGAAGGAATCACAAGACACAATGTTCCACATTTCACTAGTGACTAGTTTCGTTAGGGAATTCTCGGGATTCTAGTGAGAAGCCAAGACCAGTAGAGCTAATCCGTGTCAGGTAGAGACAGGAATCTACCTCAGTAAAATGGATGATGGTCGCGCAATTTCATGGATTGGTTGAGGTTAGACATTAACACTGTTGAATCCCGACAGGTTCAGTGGTCTAATGGTTGGGCGTTCGCGCGCTTTTAATATTACTACTTTCAGAGAGCGTAGAATTATTCGGTGGTGTAAAAATGGGGGCATAATTATCTTTAACAGTACATAAAGAGGAGTTTCGTTTAGCTGACTGATTATCATGATGATCGTATAAGGGAAAACGCATATTAAACGAACAACTACGTGTACTCGGTGAAGTATCAGTGACATTCCGTGAAATGTGTTCCACTATCAATTGGTTATTTTGATATTGGTGATAGTTATGATGTGTGGGATTAGGATGGTGATATTCTCTTGGATAAGTGTCCAGTGGAGATGCATTATCGTTGAATGTTGAAAGCTGTTTAGACAATTTTTCTTATATTGTAGACGTAGGTATATAAAAATAATCTTTATTATAAATAGAGCAAGAACAAACATTGATGCAGAATAGTATGAATTCATATTATTTCGAGGTTTCTCGTCAGCTGCTTACAAACCAAAATATGAATTCATACTATTCTGCATCAATGTTTGTTCTTGCTCTATTTAAATTCATAAAGGGAACCAATTGCATGAAATCTTTATTATTCTGACAAGTTCCTAATGTTTTGAATGATTCCACTATCTAAGATTTTAACAATTTTCCCGCTGGGTGCGGGATCGTGGATGCGCACTGCTAAGGAGTCCCATACTAGGATGAAACGGTCGTCCAGTGCTCCCAGGTTTTCCACGGTGATCTAGCTTCAATCAATTCATGATTTCAATCAGTGATATTTCCAAATAGTCAAGTCAATATCAATTCAAGTAAACTTAATCTCATCTATAAAAAAAAGTAAATGTTTCTTTAAGACAACTAAAATCTTAGTTATGAATGTTTGAACAGCATATTAAATTATTTTAATAATTGAGATCATCAATTAATTGAAGATAGACCACCATGGGAAACCACCTAGTGATTAATCAATTGTAAATATTGTAGTATTTATACAAAATCAATTAATTGATAAGTAGATAATACTGATTGATTCAAATTGAACACAATATGATAAATATTTAAATTGATCTACACATTAAGGCATCACTTAGTGATATAGTCACAAGAGTTACCAGTGAAGTGTTTAAATGAAAGGGGACATATTATTATTATTATAGGTTGTGGACATTTTTGAATTTTATTGAAATCATGAACCGACTGACGTTAAACCACTATTCAGAACCTAGAAGCACTAGATGACCATTTTATCCTATTATTGAGAACTCCTCAGTAGCAGTAGTGGTCTAACTTAGGAATGGTTCATGATTTCAATAAAGAAGCTAGTAGCTGAACACTAGCTTAAGCAGAAACATTGAATTCTTACACGATGTTT